GAGTTTAATATTTTTGTGTTTCTTACTGATTGTCATTTGAAATATTTAGCTGTTTTAGGGTATTTAAGATGAACAAGAATGAACTTTAAATCTCACTTAATAGTGTTAGTCCATATGTTTAAAATCCTAATCAGAAAGTCTTTAAACACATCAGCAGGTCATTCATTTGTATGTTCAAATTTGGTGGTGGGGCATTGGATTGTGCTTTTATTTAAAGTAGCACTTTTTCGTGTATTCTCCTTCATCTCCTTGCTTTCCTTTTTCTCTCCCCATTTCCCTTTCCACTCACCAGAACGAAGGCCAGCTCCACGACGATGACTCTGACTTCATCCTGAATGATGCCAGCGTGAGCTCCATGTACGCCGACGTCACGGTCAGCACGGATGCATCTGGATCCCACACCATCAACCGCAAGTGCACCTCCAGCACCGGGGGCGGCCCGTCTGATGAAGGTCTGGATCACGAGCTCGCCTTGGCTGAACATGAAGTGGCGATCAGGGGCACCCGCCTGGTCCTGCCCATGGATGATCCAGTGGAGCCCCCAACGACTGTCACCCTGCCTCCGCCACCCTCCCCGCCACGCTCCGAACCTCGCAGGCACAGACTGTAAGAAGGCGTACACTGTCAGGATGTAGTTTGTTGTTTTCATCTTTAAAAAAAAAAAAAAAAAAAATCACAAATCATCTAATTTGATTTCACAGGAAAATAATCATCTGTTAGTTGATTTGTTTGGATTTTTGATCGAGACACAAACTGCGTGACAAACTAAAAGTCACCATGTTGATGGGTCCACCTCTCTATCTAACGTGGTTTTAAAATAGGCTCAGCTTTGTGACAAACTTGAGGCGCGCTTGATTTAACTCACCATTTAGGGTGGATTACTGTAATCTTGAATGTGAATGCACTACATGTAAGAAGTCCAAACGGTAACTTAAAATCATTTGAGATGCACATATAGTCACCATTTTGGGAAGCTAAAAAAATGGGGCTGTAGTATTTGCTCCTAAGTTTGTACTACTGTGGTGTCAGTGCTGTTATCTATGCTCTATAAAGGCCGCAACTCCCTTTGGCTTCATGGGGCCATCCCCAAACGGTTCATATGCAGTTTACCTTTCTGTGGTGAAGTTGCTCCTGACAACAGGACCTCTACTTGTCTAGCTTCCTTCAAGTATCTGTAAGATGACCTACTGTGTCTAACATTAAGGGCAGTTGACTTTGCTCTGGTGTAACATTCAGTGGTGTTGAAGAGCATTTACACTACATCTCCATCACTAATCTTACTTATCTATCAGGCTGGTGAGTGTCCCGTATGTTTACGTCTCTCTTATTGGTGGGGAAACTTTGAAGAAGAGGAATTAGGGATTGTGATTGGCCAAGGTAGGAGCAACTAGACAATGACGTTGACGTCTGTGATGGAAGTATTAGGAGTAATGAAATTTAAAAGAAGCTTCCACGACAGTTTCCAGTTTTATCACTGCCTGCCTCTTTCTCTTCTCGATCAGACTTTTGACTTGTTCATTTATTTATTTAACTAAAAAAGATTTATTTATATAATGACTTGTTTATTTATTATTTATTTATTGTTTTGTGGAGTGACATTAACGATTATCTTGCCCTGTTCAAAACGAGGGCTGCTCGGTGGCGAAAGGTCGTTTTGCACCTTTTTCTCCACAGAGCGCTACGACTACACAAGGTACATTGTATGGTAGGGAAGCCACGATGAAGTTCTTTACAACGTGTGCATGTTAAAATATCTCCTTCCTGTACTGTAGCACATCCTTCTACTTTATACTTGGAAACTAGAGCTTCCCTGTGTGTGTATTTTACAAGTGTGTGTTTGTGTGTGGTTGATGTCAGAATGAAATTGTCCAAATCTACTGACGTGGTTATTAGGGCTAATGTCTGTCTCTGGGTTTTCTGTCGTCATTTGGTTAAATACAAAGTAACTGCCATGTCATACAGCGAAGATGACTCTGAGGGCTGGCTGAACTGTTTTGAATTAAAGTGCCTATTCAGACATTCAATTACTCAATGTAGATTTGTACATATTTTGATTTGCTAATGTGCAGTAAGATTATCTTTCTTGTTTTTTATATGACACTAAACCCCTCTGACTGAAGATTAATATTGTATTCCCAGTGTAATTAGGCATTAGGTGACCACCTGTCTATGGTGGAGATCACAAAAGAGTGCAAACTTAATCACTACTTTTATTAATAGGAAATAATTATCACTAATATTTTACTGGATAGAAAATATGTACTTTATCAAAAAGTATATGTGGCATTTTAAAATGACTGAATGCAACAAGAACCATACAGACTGTTTCTCAGTGAGGTCAACTACAGGCCAACTATAACAGGAGGATACCAACGACATTTTACTGATGCAATGTTAGTGTTTTTGTTCCTTGTTTGGCAACCAAGATTGCATTTTCTGTTCCCACTTTGACAGATGTTTTGCACTGAGGCATCTCCTTAGTTGACCCTTGGTTGTTCCGTTTTCTGGTAGGCGATTTTTGTGACAGAGGTAGAAATTAATTTCTGGTTTTGAACATGCACAGGTTTGTTTTAACCGTGTCGAGCTGCACGAGTTGTCTTTTTGATCTTCAAGCGTTTTTCTTAATATGAGATTTGAGTGTGTGTAATCATCCAGAGAAATGGACAACTGAGTTTACATTGTTTTTCTTTCATGAAGGTACCCTTTGATTTTCATTGCTTATTTAAATGTAATTGAACCAATAAATAAACATACTTTGTTAATATGGGAATTTTGAAGAAAGGAATCTTACAATAGCAACTGCACCTAAAAGTTAAAATCTGACCATGTTTGTTTCTACTGATCGTAGAAACTGTTAATGACAGTTGTATTTGTGAAAAGTACACCTGCAATAGGTCTGTATGTGAATGTTTTTAAAATGTGAACTCATGTTGACGGGGAGATCATCTCAGACTTAGTAAATTGTTCCCTGTGTAGTCCTGAAGTTATTAACATTATCTCCTCAGTCGGGCATCTTGCAAGTGTACTAGAAGAAAATAAAAACAAATCTTGAAAATGACATCTTTGTTCTTTATGCTGTCCCATAATCACCTCCTTATAACTGGTACTGTTCTATATTATTAGGCTTCTTAAGATTTAAAGGTCCAGTGTGATGGATTTTGTGGCACCTAGTGGTGAGGTTGCAGAAAGTTTCTTCTATGTGCTACTGAAAAAACAACATGGCGGGCTCCATGGAAGAGGACCCACTCCATGGCTGAATCCAAATGTCCAGACTTCACCGCACATGCAGACTCGCAGACTTTGCAGGCACGTTACCAGGAAGTACGGGAGAGTTGAGAGCTGTCCAAACCCACAATTCAACCAGTCCACAAGGGGCCTCAAGCAGACTCTCTGCAGACTTCCAGAGAGTCCACTTGGGGTGCAGACTTCAGCACACTTCACTGATGTAATAACCCACAATTCACTGCCATACGGACATGACGTTGTGCTTTTTGCAATTGCTGGAAAAAAAAACCCTATGAATGTGTAAAATAATTACTGGTAGCTAGGCCTATTCAAATGTTCCTTGAATTATGTAGGCCAGAAATAATATTCAACCACATCATGATACAGAGATGTGTAGAAGTATAGGCTGTAGAGGGGATGAAAATACATTTTATTATTGCAGCCTATCAGGCTGTGCAGTGTAATAGGCTAAAAAACTGGCTGAAAAACAACAAAAGAAGGTTTCTAATGTCAGTAATATCCAATTATTAAGTTAAAGGCCTGTCCTTATTTCAAAACTACTGTTTTTGAAGGTGTGCACGAGATTCATATCTTGTCATCTGCAGGAACAGATGAGTAGGCACTATTCATTAACTTATACGACATGAATATGACAGCGATAGTTAATCGTTTCCACGGCAACGAGTAAAACAGTCTCAAGGGCTGTCTATGAGCTGCTTGCAGTCTCTGCACTAGCAGACTTTATGTGATAGCAATAAATACATCACACTACGTACAACTGCAGTCGGCGAGGGCTCAGTCTGCGAGTTCAGAGGGTGGACATTTGGATACAGCCCATATGTAGAGAAAATCCAGGCCCCAGGATGTGCACCAGGCTTTGAAGCTTATTTCTGTCAAGACAAAACTGGAATTACGACTTCTGGGTCCATTACATGATGCCATGGAGCCAAAAAGACTTTATCCCATAGGCTTACACTGTGAAAGACAACTATAAATTAGTGTTTTCGATCTGATCCTTAAAGTCTAGAAGAGCCACACAGGTAAATCATTTTCTCCCTAATTCAAGTTAGCAGAGTGCTAAACCAGAAGTTGGCTGCTCAACTAGTGGAAGTCTGTAGTGCACCTTTATACTTTATGGGCCCAACGATGCAAAAGATCCAATTAATTTTTTACCTGTGAGATCAAACTTTTTTGGCGTCATGCGCCACAGAGCAACTTTCATTGGAATGAACAGGGCCCCGCCTCCAACACTATATCCAGCTCTCTGAATACATCCATGATATAAACAGCTCACTTTAAGGTAATGAAAACACACTGATTCAGTTTCAGGTGACTACAGACAAATGACAATATACTTATAAATATTATATTTAATTTCTGCCAACATATCCCCCAAAATCCTACACACTGGGCCTTTAAGGAATCTCAGTTTTTAATTTATTTTCCATCTTTCTTCCATGTGGAGATTTTCCATGACAAATTAAACAAATCCCTTCCACTTATGAAGACTGAGAAGAAAAAGTAAAATGGACATTGAGTCTATCTATCTATCTATCTATCTATCTATCTATCTATCTATCTCCAAGGTCAAATAAATGTTCACACTCCATTTTCTGCTTCATCACTTCCCTCAAATTATTTACTTTTATTTTGAAGCTAAAAATCACTCCGCTTCCTTTTGAACGTCGCCGCTGCTCTTTTATTTTGAAGGCGCAACATCCCATTTCCGGTCTGCACCTGCTTGTTTGTGTGGAACTTGACGCAGCCGCAGATGACAGTACTTAAAACGTGTGAGGGTCTCGTCAGAGCGGAGTTCCGCTGCCTCCACACAGGTCAGAGAGCACCGCCCCTCCACGCCGCAGTCATCACCCTGAACCCGGTAAGCTGTCTGCGGAGCACCGCTGTTTATCTGCTGGACACTGTGTTACCAAGCCTCATTGTTCTTAAAGGTGTTTTTAGACAAACCGACCTGTGACTGCAGAGCTGGTTTATAGTTACACTGGAGCATGCAGGTTATGTGACGCCTGGTTGAAGTGTTACCATACTCACCAGCCGCACTTTTAACTTTTATTAGTCTATTATTAATATGTCACTATTGTAAAGTTATTGATTTTAATGGCTTATCACTTTTTTTACAGTATGTCCTGCTAACAGATGTACAGCAGCATGTAACCCTCTTCCTCTTCACACTTCTTATGATCTCATTTCACACATTTGCAAAGCAGCATTTTGATATCCGGATAGGAAACAAGTCTTAAAGTCTGTCTGGGGCGTTGCCTGTCTGTCTGTCTGTATGTGTAAGTGTGTGTGTGTGTGTGTGTGTGTGTTAGGGCTACAGTTACATGCTGACTTATGGAAGCCTGGGCTGCTCCTGAAATCTGTTTCCAGTTAGGAAGTCTCCTTTTTTTCACTCACTGATGGAACCGCTGAGGCTAAAAAAATGCATCACAGAGGTCAATTAAAATTCCTGTACTGCTATTTTTCATTGTCCTGTGAGTGTGTGTGTGTGTGTTTACATCCTTGTAAGTGATGCATATGGCCTCAGTGTTGGTTCTACCAGTTATCTGCAAGAGGTTGAAGTAAAGTGAGGATCCATATGTGTGACTGGACTCTTTCTTACCTACACACCGGCACATAGGGCAAATTGTGTGACTGCAACCCTTACAATAAAGGGATAAAACTCAGATTATTTATTTCTGGCTGTTAAATGGAAAAAAACTGGACTGAAAGTGGAAGGAAACACGTCACAGATGTTGCAACTCCAGTGAACTTTTCTGGATATAAGCTACTAAATGTTGCTGAATTAACAGCCACATGGAAGCACTTGCACTATTACAGTTATTATTGACAGCTCACACCATCACACATGCACAAACACACAGACAGTAAGTAAACCAAGACCCATATGTGTGACTGACCTTTAGCTGCCTGACGCATACACACACCAGGGAGCCTTGGGAGTTTTCAGTGCGATTCGAAGACGGTGCCTGCATGTTAAAGAAATTACCATGAGCTCAGTCCCATAAAATACATCACAGGCTTGTAAAACTTTATGTAATTTGTCTGACTTCATGTCATGGGAACTCCCTGTTGTGTTTTGCCTGGTGTGACTTTAATAGGATAGAATGTAAATGGGATGCAGATGCTGTGTTTTTTCTTTTCATCGATCCCCAATGGCAAACCCCATATTTTTAGCAGAGTTTTTAATGGAGCTCTGCCATTTTAGTGCTCTGATAACATGATGGTGAAATAGATTTTAATTGAGAAACTTGGCAGTGTGTATCTTTAACCTGCGGCCATTAAAACATGTTGTGATGTGTTTGGGTGCACTGATATTAGTCAGAGGTAGGGCTGGGCGATATGGAGAAAATCAAATATCATGCTATTTTTGACCAAATACCTCAATATCAATATTGCAACAATATAGTAATAAAGCTGCAATAACAATATAGCCCCCCAGTGTCCCCATACTGGGCAAGGTGCTCAGAGTCCAAATATGCTGCGTCATCAATGTCTTCTTGAATTTCTCATAGTCTTGCCCCTCCCCTGGGACCATGTTGCCTTGGGAGACCCTACCAGGGGCTATTAGTCCCGGACAACACAGCTCCCAGATTCACAGTGACACACAAACCCCTCCACCATGTTAAGGTGGCGATTCTCGGGGGAATTCTCCCGAGGAAGCTACTCCTTCGTGCCGAAAGAGGTCAGTTGAGGTGGTTTGGGCATCTGACCAGGATGCCTCCTGGGCGCCTCCCGTAAGAGGTGTTTCAGGCATGTCCCACTGGTAGGAGGCCCCGGGGCAGACCCAGAACACGCTGGAGGGATTATATATCTCATCTGGGCTAGGAACGCCTTGGGGTCCCCCAGGAGGAGCTGGAAAGCGTTGCTGGGGAGAGGGACGTATAGGGTGCTTTGCTTGGCCTGCTATTCCTGCGACCTGGCCCCGGATAAGTGGATGAAAATGGATGGATGGATGGATGGATGGATATCATCAGTAATGTGGATATCGTGTTCTACTGTAATTTAACGTAATGCAGCCTTTTAAACCAGGAAAAGACCACACCTATGATATTATGATATCCAAAATCTAGGACAAGTCACATATCATGATATGGATATGATACTGATATATTGCCCAGCCCGAGTCAGTGTTTGTGACACTGACAAAAAAACAAGCTGTTTTGTTGCTTTGTATAATGTCAAAGCTATCAAGGATGTCAATGAGAAAAGCATAGATGTATAATAACACGCCTGTGAGTTCCTGCTTGGCTCACAGACTTTATGTTGTGATGACGTCATGGATTTTTAAATCGCTTTTCTCTAGCCCTAGGAAAGTTTTACAAATAAACCTCTATGGATTAAAAATTCATAATAGAAAGAGTTATAATTGACCTTATTTGCAGTTTGAGGTCTCCTGTCAACAGTTTTACAGATGTGTCTCTTATAATGGCAGTCTATAGGGAAATGCTTTTTGGGCCACTGCAGAAAAACTGTCTGCAAGACTAGGAAGCATTCATGGGGGCTTGGAGAAAAGTGGCAGCAGCTGCCTGATACTTAAATGGTTAACAGTTGCAGATCTGTTTCGATTTAAAGATTTATTTTTTGAGTTACTTGAGAGGATCAATATCGCTGTCATATATGTCCAATAAATATGACACTATGGCCAGAACACAGTTAGCTTAGCATAAAAACTGGAAGCAGGGGGAAACAGCTAGCCTGGCTCTGTCCAAGGGCGACAAAGAATATGCACCTCTAAAGCTCACTGATGAACACATTATGTCTTATTTGTTAAATCTGTACAAAAACCAAATGGTAAAAACATATTTTTCTTGGCCCAGAGCATTGACTTCCTGTCGCCACCCTGAGGTTGCCAGACAACCAGCAGCAACTTGTCATTTTTATGCTTTCATTTTTGTACAGATAAGGCAGCAAACAAGATACAATACGTTAACTAGTAAGTAATCTTTACAAACAGATATGTGCATATGTTTGCAGAATCTGTAAGCAATGGTACAAGATTTTGGTAGTAGAAGTGTTCTGGTTTCCATTTGTAGACCAAGTAATATTGACCAATCCCATTTGAGTGACAGGTAAGCCGAAATGCAATCTCAGAGCCCATCAGCCATTGGTCTGGCGATATGCCTCTTGGGGCACTGGCCAATATTTCGGGAGATCTGGTGTAGCCAGTGAAAATCTGGGCCAAGACTTGCTCTTCTGTGCATCAGTCATTTTGGTTAATCTCTATAAACAGATAACTGCATATGAATGCTAATAAATTAAAGCTAACTCATTGTCAGACAATAGCCAAGGGTTCCGAGATTGCATTTTGGCCAATGCGTTCTGCCTTTCTACACAGACTACTTACCTGCTGCTCAAACATGGTTGGTCAATACTACTTGGACTACAAATGGAAATCAGAACATTTTCAATACTGAAATCTTGCACTGTTGTCTTACAGATTCTTCCTACACAGATTACCTGGCACATGGAAGAAGTAGTCTTGGCCCTGATATCCAATGGCTACATTTTAACCCTAGAAATATGCGCTGTTGCCCCCAAAGATTTATTGTTTTCATACCAATTGCCCATGGGTTCTGAGATTGATTAGTGAGCTTTAGAGCTGGTAGGTAAATGTTAACAGTCTTGTGGCTTCATATAAAACCCAAACACATGACAGATGTATCGATCTTTTCATCTAACTCTCGGCACGAGAGTGAGTAAACATAGTTCCCAAACTATCAATCTATTTTTTTAAGCGTAAAAATAGTAACAGATTGGTTCAAACGTATGCCACTTCCCATTCAAGAGTTGTGACCTATAAAAACAGACTTGCTGGGAGAAACTTTGACCCATGCTTACGAACACTTTGAAGACAGAAAATTGGCGACGCAGATGGTGAGGTGGACGCCTGATGGTAGAAACTGTTGAATATTTTTTGGCGCGCACCATTTGGCTTTTGTCTGTTTGTACATTTTTAGTATGGATCCTACACATTGTTTTATAAATGAGACCCCAGATCTTCACCTAACCAAACACCTTTGGGAGATTCTGGAGCAACATGTCAAACAGCACTCTCCACCGCCATCATCAAATCTCCAAATGAGTGAATTTTTTTTGTGAGATTGGCGTTTCCTCCCTTCAGCTGAGTTAAAGAGACTTGTAAAACCAGGAATATAGAAGTTGTTCTGGAGACTCTTGACTATGTTGATTTTTCCTTTAATTTGGCACCCATCTGTGAGCTCATTCAGCCTTGTGGTTTAACAGTTAAACTGGTGGTAAATGATCTAATATTTGGTGACCAGAAGGGAAATTTATATATATAATTTTAATACAGAAATAGTCATGTTTGGCTTTCATTTAGAAATGGTTAGGTTTAAGTGAGGGTTTGGTGGCATCATTGATGCTAGGGTAAGAATCTGGAGGAATGGTTAGAAAAGGAGATTTGTGGGGATTTTGGTGGTTGGAGATTTATGAAGCGAGATTTTGGAAGCAAACAAGCCTTCAAGACATCACCGAGGGCTCAAATGTCCCATTAGATCATTTTAAAATTAAATTTTACCGTTACCATTGGTAGTGCTCTGACTGTACTGATGTGGTGCCAATGTGGGGAGCATTCCCACACACACACACACACACACACACACACACACACACACACACACAGAAAATGTCATAGATAATCATGGAAATGGAAATTGGTCATACATTACAGCTGCTGGAGGTTTCTAGTTTTTTCAGCTGCTCTGTTCTGAAAGACATCTCAGTTAATGAGCAGAGAGGAGAGCACAGAGGAAGAGAGCAGAAACAGAAGGAGTGTGTAACTCAGATGCAGAGAGGGAAACAGAACAGACATAGTGAAGTGGGTCGACGTACAGCTAA